TATATATATATATATGATATATATATATATATATATATATATATATATATATATATATATATATATATGTATATATATATATATATATATATATATATATATATATATATATATATATATATATATATATATATATATATATATATATATATATATATATATATATATATATATATATATATATATATATATATATATATACATGTGCGCATATATGTATGTATGTATGCACACATATACATACATATATATATATATATATATATATATATATATATATATATATATATATATATATATATATATATAAATTTATATATATAAACATACATTAACAACCTCGTGAACTCCAGTTGGAAGTTCAAACAGTACACCGGTCTTTACATCCTTCTTTCCCGGATGGTACTCTGACTTACACTCTACTTTAACTGACATGATCTTCCGGCCTCACTTTAATATCTACTAGCTATATAAACTCTCAGTACAGCTCAATACAAACTCGCTATAACGCTCAATTTCCGTGGAGTTTACATACTTATAATGTACTGTACGCACGCGTGTTTACTATAGTGAATATTTTAGCAATGGTGTCGTGTCAGAATTTTCACGGATGGTGTCAATAGTGGGTGTAGGTGGCGAATGTAGGTGGCACTTACAATGGTGGTATATTTAGGTGGCTCTATCTGTAGGTGGCGGTTTAGGTGGCTCTTGCAGTGGTGGCATCAAGATTTCTCCTTTTCCTTCGTATTTAGTCCGTGATCCTCTGCTCTGGGGGGAGAAGGGACTCAGACAGTCAGACACTCGAGAGTCGAGAGTTAAGTCGACACTCTATTTTGTGGGAACAAGAGTACAAGACTCCGCCAAAGATTTTATATATTGAATTATAGGTTCATCTGATGATATGTATGTATTTTAGTTAAATATAGTTTTTGTGTTTTTAAAAAATAATAATATATATATATACAATCATATGAGTCATCACTGTGACTGTGTGACACTGATACGAAATATATATTTAAATATCATGTAGAATAAATACATGCTCTCAGTAACTTAGTCTGAGGCCGAGTCTAATCGGTTATAACAAATTTTCGTAATAGTAACAATAATAGGGCAAATTAAGGCTGGAAATTTTCGAAATGATTCAGAAGGTGTCCTTTCGAGATTTCAGACTCAAATGCACCAATGTAGGGAACGCATAACTCGACATTTCCCGCCAAAGTACAGACTATTTATAAACCTACTCTAAGTGCGTAGCTTTCAATAATTCAAATGCATGTTATAATATATCTAATAAATATATACTACGTCTAGAAAATACAATCTCTGTTCTTTTGTGATACAAAACATATTTTTTAGATGCACTTGAAGTAAAGTATATCACACGGAAGAGAGACGTTTGTACGTTCTATTCTATTGCTGCGTTTAGCTAGGTCTATTACATAAGTGACAAGCATACAAGAAATATACCCTGTTATTAACAGCAGCATTCAAAAGAGGCATCGTAACCGCCCGACCGTTAAACCGCTTTTTTGTTGCAAACATCTTGCATCCAATCGAACATTTTGTGCGGGCTTTCGTGTATCCAATTAGATTGATGGGGATATCGACGGTATTTTACATTTTCTTGGTAATTTTTGAAGTTTACGTAAAGATTCCGACTATAACTTAAAATTATAGCGAAATCAACTATTACAAGAGACAAATTTTGTCTCTGGAAGTTTTCAAAAGTGGGACACGAAATCAATTTTTTATAAATTTAATCGAGCATACTATTGGCTGACAAGCTATGTCGCTCGCCTATATCGTGAAAACTATTATAGTTAACACCCGGCCTGAGACTCAGGCCTCAGTTTTCAGTTCTGCAGTGAAGACTTCTATGTCAATTTAAAAAAAAAGGAAAAAGACTGAACTTCTGAAGTTCTGAAGTCAGAGGTGCGTGAAAGCCTCGTTACGTTCTTGCTGTACAGAATAAACGTTTCACGCTTAACGCTAACGTTAAAAAGTATATGTGTAACGTATATCCGACTGACAATCAGACACAGTATAGGCCTGGAAGATCTTTATATATGCCTGGGAGATCTTTATATATATACGTGGTAACCGTTAGACGAAAACATTAAAATTCAAAAAAAAGTATATGATAAAAGATACGAGCGGCCTGGGGGCTGGCCCTGGGGTCTTGTCATTTATTATGTAAATTTTAAATTAAATATACTGGCCTGATTATCTGAACTTCCGAAGTGGCCCGGCCGCTCTGGCCGCTCGCCCTTCAAAAAAAAGTACAATGGGTTAAAAGTTAAAAAAAAAGACTCAAAAGTCCAGACTCCACTAACCAGTGACCACTCTCTCCCGAGTCCTGTGTCCAGGGTCCAGAGTCCAGAAGAGTCCTCTTCTTGACGGTCGACTGTCGAGTGTCGAGTGTCGACCCACATCGCGCCTTAAATAACAGTTAATGTTAACGCGACTCTCACACTTTCAGACTCTCAGAGTCTCACAGTCTCACTGTCCTGTCTCGCTGACTCTCGCGTCACTGCCGGTGTGTGTACTTGATTTTCTCAAACAATTCAAGTAACCAAATTCCCTAGAGCTCAAGACCAACTGAACAAGTACGCAACCACTTCTCTGGAATTTCCATTTAGTTCCTTTTTAAAAGCATTTGGATTTTTTTAATTAAGAGTGATGAGTCATGACTCCTGCGAGAGATACATAGTGATAGTGAATTAGTGATCCCAGGAGATTAGTCATTAGAGAAGTAGTTTTTCTTTGATGTGTGATGACTGATGAGTCATGACTGATGAGTCGCAGTAACAGTTGGTTCCCTATATTTTTTATTTCCATTTCCAGAATTTTACAACTCTTCGTTTCTTTGTTTTTCTTTTAAAACAAAAGGGGTTTTATTTACTCCGATAGAATATCGTTCGTCCTATGCCCTGTCAGTTACTGCCCTGTGGCGATGGCTATTGGTGATTGGTCCCAGTGACCCACATGCTACCTGGGGCTGGAAGGAAGGCCTGAGACTGGACTCTGGAGTCTGGACTCTGGACCCTGGGCCTGGGACCTGGGCCCTGGGGGTATTTTTAATTTATATAAGGCGAGTTCCGACGTCCAAGGGACTTTCCCGGCATAGATATTTGTTTTTTAAAAAACACAAAAAGTAGAACCAGCGAGGCGCTCCGTTATTTATCTCTTGTTTTTGCTTTTCAAGTATTTATGTACTACTCAAAATAAATAAATCACCCCCCTAACTTTGTTTGACAATGATCTACTGACTATGTACTGGGGGTATTTATCGAATGCGATTCAATGAGGTCGCTATGGAGTTCGTATACTACGAATTTGTTCGAAAAATAGAAGTGTCGCGCTGTGCATGTAAAAGCAACCGTACACTGAACACTGTATCAGTATTCCTATATACCTAACTAACAACTTAAAAATCAATTTACTGTTATATTCAACTTTCAAAATGGTAGCCACAAAGTCTCTACTATGCTTTATCGTCGGATCCATGGCATGGGCCAACACCAATGCCCAACCGCGAGGCGAGCAGTCACTCTGCCGAGCGTTTGTTGAGGAAAACTGCGAGTGCAGCACTGCCACGAGCAGAGAGGAGCGATCAAGCTGTGTTCTCGAGTGTATCACGGGCAATACCGATGGGGAAGAGGTGTGTGCTAAAATGATCGAGAGAATGGAAGCCCGTGAGAAATGCCATGCGTTTATTGAGCAAGAATGCGCCGACTGCACGTCTGACGACCATCAAGCTGAGCATACTTGTGTGCGAACCTGCTTGGAGGAGAACGACAGCGAAGGGCTGTGCGAGATGCGCGGAATGGGCAAAGGCAGAAAGGACGGAGATCATGAGATGGAAGATGGCGAGCATGGACCGCATGGGCCGAGGGGAGATCACAAGCCCAGTGAGGAATGCCGAGCATTCGTCGAAGAGAACTGCGAGTGCGAGATGGACATGGACATGGACATGGAGGGCATGGGTTCGGAAGATATGGAGGAGAGAGAGGAAGGAGATGCCAAGGAAGACACGGAGGGAGACATGCAGAAGCACAGAGGTGGACCCCATGGAGGCCGTGGAGGGCCAAGAATGAGTGGAGAGTTCTTTGAATGTGTGCATGAATGCATTGAGAGTCTTGATTCCGATGGCGTGTGTGAGCGTGAGGAGAAGGAAGTTGAGGCTGACGATACCGAATAGATATACAATCTGCGACTGACTTGCAGGTTCGTTCGTATATATGATGGACTATTGCCTCAGTGTTGAGTGAGCTCGCATCCGCCACCCAACATTTTTGTTCATCTAAGCTACTTCCAATATGATAAAAATAAAATACAACTAAATACATACTTGATCTAAACTTCAGGAGGAATCTGAATTGACAGACAAGTTTGAATTCACCGCCTAATTGATCACATCTAAGACCCAATCGTCATCCACAAACTGATGCCTTGTATAGCAAACCGCGTTAAGACATTGTTTCTATGTACTGTTTTTTTCTAAAGTTTAAACTTGTGCAGAATATATTGTCGAAGACTCAACTGAATATCATTATAACGACCAATTTCTTTTCTATTGACTGCTAGAGTCAGAGGCTTTAAACTAAGACCAAACTATAGAACATTGTAAGCGTACCCCAATCATATGGCCTACCGTTATATTAATTGCGAACCAGGTTGACAGACCAAGGTAGCTCCTGAAACTAGATACACGCGCCACTCCAAGAACTAACAAGGACAGGACGAAAGGGAATACAGACGTGTTTGCGTAAATGTATATAACTATATATACTGTGGTGGTTAGATACTTCAAAACAAAAATGTAACGTATCACTGCTTATATGCAATTGACATTTGTTCTAGAGGTACTAGCATATACACAGCTGCATATATACATCTAACATATGTTGTAGAGGTACTAGCATATACATAGCTGCATATATACATCTAACATATGTTGTAGAGGTACTAGCTTATAATAGGCTGCATATATGCTTCTCATTACATTTGTTCTAGAAGTACTAGCATGAAATAGGCTGTATATATCTAGAGGTACTAGCATGTACGCACTTCAATTTGTATCTTCAATAAATCAATTCTCAGAGTTCTGCACAAGTCTTTCGGCGCCTATGAGGTACACGTTCAATATGTTATACCTTCCTATCCTTTGCTACGGAAACTCCGCCCAGGACGATACCATTATTCAATGTCATGACAATGGGGCACGCGCTGATCAACTCCCACTTTTTTTTCTCGCTTCTTCTGGTTGGCGGGGATACTTGACAAGTACTTGGCAACCAACTTCTTGATTACCTCATCAGCGGCACTTGATAGGCAGCGTGTCTCCAACCGATGAGCTGTGCATGATGTGTAATAGACAGGTAAAGTAGTGTGTATAAACAATTTGGTATCGATTGACCGAGTTCTGTATACGCGCATGAGGTGCGAGTTTGTGTCTGGAAGGATGGCTGGTACATTTTAGCTTATGTGCGGGCATATAACTAGATACATAGTTCGCTGCCACACATGATAGCCATCTTGAACAACGCGGCCGGCAGCATGTATCGTAGGTTTGTCTATATTGCCGCCCTTGGACAACGCGACCAATATGGCATGTATCATAGTTTCTGTATTGTCGTCTAGTGTGCTCTATGTCATCTCGAGGATTCACCAGACAGGTAGTCGCTTGGTCATGTTTGCAAAGCAATGTACTATCCATTGGATATCTCGTAGTTGGCGTATACTCATCCACAGGCTCACGGCAAAAACGCATGACCGTAGCTGCAGGCGCACGATGTCAAAAAAATTAATGAGCCCATTCAGAACCGGATGTGAAAGTTTACACACACACAACCAACAATTTGACTCCGCTAATATGGCGTGGATGTGGTTGCGCTAACGAGAGATGCTAGAGGCATGTAGTATCGTATGTGAAATTTTCGACTTCCGAGGGACTCACCCGACATAAAAGCTGAGGGGCGCACCCTCATTTTTTTTTAACGTGTTATTATTACTTGTTTGACCGTGATCTAAATTCAACGAGGTTGCTATGGAGTTCGAATACATACATGTACACGGTGACAGCCTGACAAGTCGGTAATTTTTTTTTCAAAACAGAAAGTGTCGCGCATTATGACTTGTTTGACAGTGATCTAGATTCAACGAGGTTGTTATGTAGTTTGAATCCATACACGCGGTGGCAGGATGGTCAAATTTGAAATAGTGTCGCGCTATGTATAAAAGCAAAAACCGGACACGGAATCCCATACCAGTATTCCTATATACCAAAGTAACAACAAAAACCATTACAAACTGCAACTTTTCATAATGGTAGCCACAAAATCCCTATTATGTTTCATCGTTGGGTCAATGGCCTGGGTTAACACCTATGCCCAACCACGAGGCGAGCAGTCACTCTGCCGAGCGTTTGTTGAGGAAAACTGCGAGTGCAGCACTGCCACGAGCAGAGAGGAGCGATCAAGCTGTGTTCTCGAGTGTATCACAGGCAATGTCGATGAGGAAAATGTGTGTGCTAAAATGGTCGAGAGAATGGAAGCCCGAGAGAAATGCCATGCATTTATTGAGCAAGAATGCTCCAACTGCACGTCTGGGGACCATCGAGCTGAGCATACTTGTGTGCGAACCTGCTTGGAGGAGAACGACAGCGAAGGGCTGTGCGAGATGCGTGGGATGGGCAAAGGCAGAAAGAACAGGAACATGACTATGGATGACCTTGAAATGGTTGATGTCGAACAGCATGGTCCGAATGGGCCGATGGGAGATCACAAGCCTAGTGAGAAATGCCGAGCATTCGTCGAAGAGAACTGTGAGTGCGAGATCGCCATTGACATAGAGGGAACAAAGGAAGGTGATGCCAAGGAACACGCAGAGAAAGACGTGCAGAAACACACAGGTGGATCCGACGAAGGCCATAGACAGCCTGTGCCCCATGGAGCTGACGGAGGACCACGCAAGGGTGGGGAGGTCTCTGAGTGTGTGCATGAATGCATCGAGAGTTTGGATACCGATGGTGTGTGTAAGCGTGAGGGAAAAAACGGAAAACATGACCGTGGTTGACGAAGAGATGTATGATGGTGAGCATGGCCCGAATGGACCGATGGGAGAGCACAAGCCCAGCGAGGAATGCCGAGCATTCGTCGAAGAGAACTGCGAGTGTGAGATCGCCATTGACACGGAGGGGGCAAAGGAGGGCGATGCCAAGGAACACCCAGAGAAAGACGTGCAGAAGCACACAGGTGGATCCGCCAGAGGCCATGGAAAGCCTGTGCCCCATGGAGGTCACGGAGGGCCAAAAAATGATAGTGAGGTCTCTGAGTGTGTGCATGAATGCATCGAGAGCCTGGATACTGATGGTGTGTGTAAGCGTGAAGGAAAAGGCAGAAAGAACGGGAACATGACCGTGGTTGACCAAGAGATGTACGATGGTGAGCATGGCCTGAATGGATCGAGGGGAGAGCATAAGCCCACTGAGGAATGCCGAACATTCGTCGAAGAGAGCTGCGAATGCGAGATCGCTATTGACATAAAGGAGACAAAGGAGGGCGATGCCAAGGAGCACTCTGAGAAAGACGTGCAGAAGAACACAGGTGGATCCGCCAGAGGCCATGGAAAGCCTGTGCCCCATGGAGGTCACGGGGGACCACGCAAGGGTGGAGAGTTCTCTGAGTGTGTGCATGAATGTATTCGGAGCCTGGATACTGATGGTGTGTGTAAGCGTGAGGAGAGGGAACAAGCTGAGGCGGTCGATTCGGAATAGATTCACGGTCTTCAACTGACTTGCTGGTTCCTTCGTAATACGTGGAGAATTGCTTCAGCATTGAGTGGGGTCGCACCCACTACCCAATATTGATGTTCGTTTTAGCTACTCCCATCATGTGTATAATTAAATCCAACAAAACAAAGACTTGTTTTAATCTTCTGGAGGAATCAAAGCCAACAAAATCAAACTGGTGTATCACGAACCGCGTTGAATCATTGTTTCTGCAGCTCGGCTCAGACTTGTGTAAGTTGAGTCATCGTAGTCTCAAATTAACATTATTATTCCGATCAAGTGCGTGGCTATTGTACATTTAGGAGCTCAGATGATTTATGGCACGGTCGGACCTTAGAACACCGTAAGCTCTCTGCAACCATATAGCCAACCACTGGGCCGATAGACTCCAAGAATGCTTTGAAAATGTGCACTCTCTTATCGGCTGCTTCTAGAACCAGTGGGGACAGGACTAAAAGACACGCACAGTACACGTTTGCACGCATCTTTATATACGGTGGTAGTCTTTAAACTCACAAAAGAACGTAGTAGAGTATGCTTCTAGTAGTACTAACATATAATAGGCTGCATGCATGCTTCTTATTTCATTTGTTCTAGAAGTACTAGCATATAATAGGCTGCATATATGCTTCTTATTACATTTGTTATAGAAGTACTGATATATAATAGGCTGCATGTATGCTTCCTGTTACATTTGTTCTAGAAGTACTAGCATATAATAGGCTGCATGTATGCTTCTTGTTACATTTGTTCTAGAAGTACTAGCATATAATAGGCCGCATGTATGCTTCTTATTACAGTTGTTATAGAAGTACTAATAAATAATAGGCTGCATGTATGCTACTTATTACAGTTGTTATAGAAGTACTAATAAATAATAGGCTGCATGTATGATTCCTATTACATTTGTTATAGAAGTACTAATATATAATAGGCTGCGTGTATGCTTCTTATTACATTTGTTATAGAAGTACTGGCATATAGTAGGTTGCATGTATGGTTCTCAGTACTAGAAGTACTAGCATATATTAGGCTGCATGTACACTTCTTATTGCATTTGTTCTATAAAGGTACGAACATGTAACGCATTTTATTTCACATCTTCAGTAAATGAATTCTTAGAGTGCCGCACAAGTCCTTGGGCGCGTATATGGTACGCGCTTAAAATGTAGTACATTCGTAACCTTTGCTGGTCAAAACAAATTGGGGTTGACCGCAAGTACATAGCGAAAGGTCAGAGCCTAAGGCGCTCGCTCTCATTGTCGAGTTCATAACAGGCTATACAGCGGCAACCGATTGAATTGTTCGTTTAGGCATTTGCGAAGACCAATAAAGAAGTATGCACATACGATACCACACAATTACAAACCTCCACACAGCTGTAACAACTGAAAGGTAAGTCCTTATTATTGATACGGTATTCAATTCTAAGTTATAGCAAGGGCGGCTTTACTTCTTTGTAAAGTACTTGAACGCCGAGTATACGACGAAAGCTCCGCCCAGGGCGATACCAATATTCGTTGCCATGGTAACGGGGCACGCGCTGATCAGCTTCCACCCCTTGCTCTGCTTCTGGTTGTCAGGGTTACGTGACGAGTACTTGGCCACCAACTTCTTAATCGCCTCCTTATCAGCGGCACTTGATAGACAGCGTGTCTCCATCTGATGCATGGTGTGTGAGTGCGTAACAGACGGTTAGAGTGGTACTTATTTATGAACAATTTTGTGCAGTATCGATTGGCAGAGTGATGTATACGAGTAGGGGGTGCGAGTTTGTGTATGGAAGGATGAACATAACAACCGGCCAAGTGTAGCCAGTACGCGCAGTGGTAGTAGTATCACACCAACTGAGTGCTTACAGGTACTAACAGAGTCACGCACATACCGTTTTGCACGCTTCGAGAGGGCCGGGGAAGACTGGATCCTGGCCGATAGCCTGCATGTGTGGAGGGTGTAGTAGTGTGTGAGCGTCATCGTTGCAACACTCCAAACATTTATGTATGGTATGGACAATATGATGACTCTATTTATATACACAAACCACTCATAGGGACCATTCAGGTCATATATATATATATATGTACTACAAGATCAGCACGATTCTTGTAACAGCGGGTTGTTGGTTTATTATAGTATGCTTTGTACACAAACACAAACCACATATACGAACATGACCAAACACAAACATATAAGACAGTATCAACAAGTGCGCACAACACTAGTTCAAGAAATTAACTAGTTACACTGATGTACACAACATATCCTGTACACAGCCACATACCCTACACCCATATATATATATATATATTCTGTTCACGACCACTTGCACAAATATTAACATGACCAACACCTCATATAAGCACTGTCAACACGCACAACGCTGGAAGATTTTAACTGGTTATGCCGAGGTACCCAGCATACCCTATGCACAGCCACATCAAATTTGGCTGGGTGGGCCGTTGCCAAGGTGATGGCAGCGGCACTGCCCTTCTTGAGCACCTTCTTGTATGATCTGCGGAGAAATGCGAAAGATGAAGAATATCTATAATTAGATTACAAAGACACCTACAACCCTGCAAAGACACTCAGCACACGACATATGAACAAGTACTTGGAAAGTACTTCTGGGATGCACAGACAACCACACGCGCCATGTGAACAAGCACGAAGACAGTGGCTTTGACTTTGCAGGGACGGCCTAGAAAGGTCTCCGTCTATGAATGGACTTAAACCCTACACCCTACAACAAATGGACAAGCGGACAGAGCTACTGTAAGGGGTTTAGGGTTTCATACGAATTTTATGTATGGACTCCCAACTGTATCTATATCTGAGAGGGGGTTGGGAAGTAAGAGTTTTAGGGTAAACCCTAAGCACATTTAACACAGTAAAGTTCACTTTGGCCAGGAACTAGTACATTTACATATGCACACTGACAAACGAGATATATATATATATACATAAGATATATATACACAGAACATCAAATACATATACATCCGGACACACACACAAGCGTGGATGCACATAGAAAAACCACCTACAACATACACAGGATAAAAAAAAACACTCACACATAACAAGTAAAGGATACAAAACTACAAACACACGAATACACACACGTGCTATAGTGATGTACACACTGCCACATACGCATCGGTGGTCTCGTTGAGGTGCTCGTCCATGGCGTGCAGACCACAGGCGGTGTGTGGGCAGGCGATGTAGTTATACTTCTCATGGTACTTCTTGATGGCCGTTAGAATCTGGGGATGTCGCAAATGCATTATTTGAGATGCACATTCAAGGGATATGTCGTAAATTCACCATACATATAGACAAACATACATACATACATTAAAACATATGAATTCAATTAGGACGCACATTCAAATTCGCAAATTCACTATATATATACACACGTACATATAATCTAATTAGAGATGCACATTCAATAGATACGTCACAAATTCAATATATATATTCATACATGCATACAAATAGACTAATTATAGGTACACATTCAAAAAAATGTCATAAATTCAGTATAAATATGTATATACATACATACATACGTACATATAAACTAATTAGAGATGCACATTCAAAAGATATGTCGCAAATTCACTATGTCTATAAATATAGGTACATATATATAAATTAAATATTTGACATGCATATTCAAGGGATAGGTAGTAGATTAATAATATGAGGTGTGTATTAGACACAGAACATTAAAGGATCAGTGCGATTGATCGACGGAAGGATGTTGGATGCGCCGGCACGTGTAGAGTGAAACGAGACAAACACACAAGCAAGTGTTAGCCCAGATGTGTATATACTATACAGCGACAGATGTACACACACACACAATATATATATATATATCTATATCAACATATACACAGACGCAACTTCTACCTTCACACGCCCCACATTTCACGTTCTCGTGTTCACAGAGCTTACATAAGGGTTGATCAGACCTCTACGCCTCGCTGCAAACACAGATACGGATCACAAACACATCCGTAATGTGTGACAACACACACGGAAGTATAAGTACCGTGAGCATAGCCATACACACAAGTGCGGTGGAGAGAGTGAAGATACGCCGTATGTATACATTACGTCCGTATATACAATACGTATGTATGTATGTATGCATGTATGTATATATACATTACGTATGTGTGTATATGAGTATGTATGTATGCATTTTTGTTTATATACATTACGTATATGTGTATATGAGTATGTATATACGAGTATGCATGCATGAATGTATGTATGTATGTATACCTGTAGCTCGTTGCAGTTGTTGGACATGAAGGAGTCCTTGACCTTCTGGTGCTCTTCAGGTGACACCGACATCTTGCCTTTGGTCTGCGCACGAAGGAGAAAGAGAACGGTTTAGGAGAAGTAGAAAGGGTTTAGAAGGAGAAGGAGAAACGGGTACACACACACACACATATATATATACCTTACATACACACACACGTAACTATTTACACATAAGCATTTGTGTAACCACATGTGTAGTTTGCACAGCATGCACCATATCCACACCGTCTTGTCACGTGTCACGTGCCACTTACACGCCTCCCGTCGCGTACCATTTACATCTCAGTGCACAGAGACATCACATGCAACCTGTACATAGATAGTCTATTCCATAGTGCGTGAAGAGAGAGAGACACACACACACACAGAGAGGGTCTATCTCTGGGGATAAGCCAGCCTCAAAATAGGCCTTTACGCTCAAGCAACGCCCAAGCCCATGCAGCAGCGTACCTTGAAGTCGCTCATCCATGCAGCCACCTTGGCGGTGTCGTTGTTGGCCAAGTGCAGCAGATAGCGTTCAAAGTTGGAGGAGATCTGGATGTCCATCGCGGGCGCTATGGTGGGCTCTACGGCTCTGACCTCCTGCTCAGCCGTTTGCACAAAGCGGTGCTACAACGGAGGGGTAGGGGTAGGGGTAGGGTAGTGAGACAACGTGTGGGCAAGGTGTATGCGTGTAGGGTGTAAGGCAAGAGTGGTGTGGGTGTAAAATGTATGCGTGTAGGGTGTAAGGCAAGTATGGAATGGTGTAAGGTGTGTGCTTGTAGGGTGTAAGGCAAGTGTGGTGCGGGTGTAAGGCAAGTATGGAATGGTGTAAGGTGTGTGCTTGTAGGGTGTAAGGCAAGTGTGGTGCGGGTGTAAGGTGTGTGGGTGTAGGGTATAAGACAGGAGATGTGTATGTATAGAGTACAGGTGTTGTGAAGGCGGCTTAGGCCAAACCAGAATACGGTAGGTGATTAGTTGAGAAATGCTACGTTTGAGGTCGATGTGAACTTGCCTGTTAGAAGCACAAGCATGAGCATACCACGAACTCGTACAACTAAGTAGCAATAAGCGAATACACACACACGCACACACAACACACATATATATATATTATTATTATTCATTTATACATACCAGGTATCGTCTGAGTGGGAGACAATGGGCAGCTGAGTGAATAGATCCAGTAAACTCATATACTCCAAAGCAAACTATGTAGATCCATACACAGACTCGCCGAGATGCTCAAACATTGACTTACCAAGATATCATTAATGTCGGTAGCAATGTTCCATATATACATTTCCTAAAACCATATTTTCATATACACATAGACCCAACATAGACCTACCAAGATGTCATTAGAGTTGGTGGCAATGTTCCATATATACACCACCTAAAACCCTATCTTAATATACACATAGACCCAACATATACCTACCAAGATATCGTTAGAGTTGGTGGCGATGACCAGCTGTGTAGGTAGACCCATCTCGGTCGCGTAGAAGCCCGCCAGAATGTCTCCGAAGTTTCCGGTAGGAACGACGTATGTGAGTGTGGGCAGGTTCTGCATGTCGCTGCAGTCCAAAATTTGCGACATTTGGTCGTTCTAAAAGATAAGCAACAGAGACAGAGTCAGTACCACGCTACAATTTGCGACACTTGGTAGTTCTAAAAGATATGCAACAGAGACAGGCAGCAATTTGCGACAAGATTACCAAGAAGCCAATCAAAAGAATAGCACACGCCTGATTTGTATGTCTCTACACGACATAACTATATAAACACGTTGTGAGCCATGAAATACCTGCTTCAGGTACTAGAAGTAGCTGCTGTAGTATTATGTGATCTGTGCTACACGCCATAATTATATTAACATGTGTGAGCCATGACATACGTGCTTCAGGTACTGGAAGTAGCTGCTGTAGTAGTACGTGATTATAACTATATTAACACGTGTGAGCTGAGCCATACCTGCTTCAGGTACTAGAAGTAGCTGCTGTAGTAGTATGTGATCTGTGCTACACGCCATAACTATATTAACACGTGTGGGCTAAGCCATACCTGCTTCAGGTACTGGAAGTAGCTGCTGTAGTAGTACGTGATCTGTGCTAGGATTCGTGCCCAGTTGATGGAGTTGACCGCCGCCAAGTCGTAGGTGGTGTTGAACTGCTTATCGGAGAAGCACTCCTTGACAATGGCCTACAGTACCACACAGTAACAGGTAAGTGAATAGTGTGTGGTTTGTGATGGAGTGTGGCATTAACAAACAACAACTGAGTTTGTGATGCGTGCTATGCAGTCGCCTGCCTATAAACATTCACACACGACAAACAGCTGCACAGCTCAATGCATTCTAGTTTATATGTCCGTTATATATATGTGTGCACGCGTA